CGTTACCGTTACCGTTGCAGCCTATAAGGAGCAGTGGAGCCGAAAAGGAGAAACCTAAACCTAGAAAATGAAAACATAGCATGTGATAATGTCTCTATGACAATGTAACAGGATTTAGTGACGACGCGTCGTAAAGAAAACACGACATAGCTTGGAAGCCTTCCAAACGGGGCAGTGCTTGAGTCTGCATAAATAAATGTGGCATAGAACGGGACTCCATGCGACAGCGAAATAAATCTGTGTAAACACACTTTTGAGACGTAAATAAATGTGCGGTTAATTCGTGCAATATGGAATTACGACAATAGTATTACTGCAATTTAGTACAATTACTATGACGTTACGAACTATACACAAATGTAACCTATAATAATTGTATAATTAGTTAGTTGGTAATGCTAACTAATAACTAATATCTATAAATTATTTATTATCTCTATGGCTTATTTTTTCATATTTTTCAGATCGATGCTTTTTCAGAATACGGATACGAGCACTTTTTCCCCCATAAATAAAAAAAAATTATACACGATTATTAAAAAATCCATAAAAATTAAAAAATAAAATTCCATTTGTAACTGGCGCATTTCAAACATCTGTATATAAGCTGCGACAACCTGGCAGAGAAATAGTGGTGTAATTCGGGGTGTTTTCAAGTAGGTACAAAACACTAAACATTGGTTATGCATGATGATAACAGGTATCGGTGAATAGCAGTGTAAGATAATTCATCACTCACTGCACTTCGTCCCGTGGCTGTCATATGAGCCAAGTAACGACTACTTCTAAAAATCAAACTTCTACCTGACGTTCTCATATCCCTCCCTATGAAGTAATTTATGGAAGAGGCCAATGTTCAGCAGTGGATTATGATAGGTTGTAATGGAAGAAAGTTACAGCCTATATACGTCCCACTGCTGGGCACAGGCCTCCTCTCACTTCTGAGGGTTTTAGAGCAGGGAAATGTCTGTCTCGCTGCCCCAGTGCGTGTTGGCGGACTTTACACATGTCTTCGAATTTTTATTTTATTTCTCAGATATGGTGTACGACAGGCTGTAATGGAAACAATATGTTTTAACATATACATATTATCAGTATTTACATGGCAGTTGGGTTTTATATTACCAGATCGTGTTTGCCTTTTCCGCAATCAAAAAATCATCACAGAAATTATACTTAATAGTAATACTAAGTAACTATATGTTATTTTCGAAGTTAGCTGATATAAACGTCACGTAAATATTATAGCCACTATAGATTCAGCCTGGGATGCTTTTCTAGAATCGCTACGTTTTACACGTACCGAGACATTACATCTTAGTTCTCAAAGGTCAGAGGTTACAACGCATTTACATCTTTAGTTCTAAATCGAAGATAAATGTTGTCTATAAACCACAGCATCCACTTACCATTAGATGGATCTGTTCGTTTTGTCACCTTTACTTGTATAAGGAGGAACTTAGGAACTGCTCTACTAAAACTGTTTGTGGTTAATTTTAACAATAATTATTTATTAAATTTTATTTTTATAAAGCAAGAAAATTCTCATTGCTTATTTCGATGAGTGCTCGTGTCATATAATACATATATCATCATATTTAACGCCTACCTGACAAACAACGCACAACCATAACTCAGAATAAAATAAAAAGAAATTAAAAAAAACAACACAAATCGCAAATAATAAATATTGGATTGCGGTAAAAAATGTTATTTCAATTTGCACGCGTTTGCATTTATTTTAAGCACTCAATCGTGCGACCCGAATAATTTTGCTTGCTTTTAATTTACCAGAATTTTCGTTTGTTGCGATGCGGGTAAAAGCACGTATGTATGATTGATTGATTAATGTACGTGTGTAATAACATTACCTACTCTTGCTTCCATAATTTAATACTTGTTTAACATGAATATTAAGTACATATTATATTAGATTATAATTAATTATTCAGTCAGGAGGATAAAAGAATGAAATTTTCGTACCTAAGACTATGGTAAAGACTTGTACCATAGTTACAGTGCGTTTCATTCGTATAATATTCTTTATATCTAGACTACGAAATAAGTGTCCTAGTAGCTCGGGAGATGAACACACACTTTAAGATTTCATAGTACACGAGAAGAGTTTGATTCCCGCCTATAGCTTTGAAATTATAGTAAGAACTTAAAATATTCAGGGCTCTAAAAATCCCTGAAATGAGGGGAAGATTGTGGGAGAAACAACCTACCTACATATTATTTCCCTATTGCTGGGCAGTGGGACATACGTTTACTGGTTACTTTACTTTTAAAGGCTTAAAACAACAACAACAACAAATAAAGTTACCTATTTGAAAAGTCGAATTTGCTGCGCAATGGCTAAGATCCGCAGGGGTGCGGGTTCGAATCCCGCACGGAGCAAGTGTTTGTATGGCCTTACAATTCATTGTACCGGGCTTTAATGTTCGTCCATGTGAGGTTTATGCCTGTAAACGCTCTAAATATAACAGCACTATTATATGATCTTTCATCATAAAGCTCGTATAACCTTCGCCTACTTTTATAAATTCCTACTGTCGCCCGTTCATTAAATGATTTGCGACTGTTAAAAGATTTCTCTTTTTAGTTTTAGAAGTAAATAATTAGCACTATTTTCAAACGAAAGTGATGGAAGTCTTTTTATTAAATTACTTCTAAACCTCTCCAAGCGATTTCATTTATTGGAACAAACACAACTTTCTTATTTTTCTTTTTTTTTTGTGTATGTAAGGTAGTGATACCAACTGTCCACAGTGATCTGAACTTAAATTGTGAATAATTGATTTATGCAAGGGCTTAACATCTGTAAAAATGTTATCTATACAGGTCGTACTAGGCCCAGCAATATGTGTTGGTTCTAAGAATAAATTTACAATATTATACAATTTAAACAATGAGCTAAACTTAATACTAATGGAAGAAGTTTCAAGGGGATTGATGTTATAGTCTCCACATATTACAACAGGCTTGTTCTGTTTACTAAGTTTGAGTAAAACTTCTTCCACAATCCTTTCAAAATGGTCATAAGTAGCACATGGGGGTCTGTAAACACTTACAATTACAACAAAATGAGGTGCTCGAGCTCGACAAAAGCCATTTCTACAGTTCGTTCAACAGAGAGGCTCACAATATCCTTACGTTCTTTATATAATAATGACTTATCTGCTAATATTAAGGAGCCACCACGTAAACTTTTTTCTCTATTGAAGGAACTGACCACCTGGTGATTTCTGAAATTAAACATGAAATTATAATCTTTTAGCCAATGTTCAATAATACAAAGGATGTGTATATTGTTACTATTTAAAAACAATTCAACTTCCAATTCTTTGCCCAACATGCCTTGTATATTTTGATGCACCAGGTGTAAACAATTTTTATTACTTATTTGTGGGCTGTATTCAAAATTAATTAAGCTCTTATTATTGCTAGAGATTGCCTCTATTGTCACATTCACTAATTTAAATTAGTTGGAACTGATTCCAAATTAAATGTCAAATGATTATGCTCAATAAAAGCAGTCTTGGTAGCCAAAAATTTGGCTTAGTTAAAAAGTAAATAATAAGATAGCACATTTGCTATCAGTCTTAAATTATATTTGGGTAGGTAATACCTATCTTTTGTCCAAAACTTTTTTATTAAATTATTTATGTCAATTACATGAAATTTATGATTATTATCATTACAATTATATGTCAAATTTAAATTATTATTACATTTAAATTATGCATTTGTATATTTAAATTATGTCTAAAATTATTTTCCTGTGGCAATCCCTGTATATAGGGCAGTCTAAACAAGACAATTTTGTGTACGTTTAAGTTATGAAGTTGTTCAATATATCTTAATAACTGTTTGTTGTTTACACTGCCTCTTCTACCATCAAAAATTATTATTGTACTATTTGGGCAAAATTTAGTAACTATACTTATTTAGGATGTCACTAAAAGATGCTCCAGGCATGCAGCAATTTGTAACTTTTTGGCCCTTTAAAGAGTTATTTAAAGTTATGCCTAGATTTTTTCCTATGTCATCGCTATAAACAATTATATTATTTTTAGTAATATTTGAGTTATTTTATTGGTTTCTATTTCTGATGTTATGTAAAACCGCTTTACAGCTAAATAAATATGCATACTTATGAAGAATATAAATAATAATAAATTTCATCATCATAGTCATAATTAACAGCCCCTTACAAGTCCACTGCTGAACATAGGCCTCCCCCACTGAGTGCCAGAAAGCACGGTCTTGAGCTACCTGCGTCCATCGACTGCATGCATTGCATCTCTTACCAGGTTGTCACACCATATGGTGGAAGGCCTTCGTTTACCGCTACGAGGCTGTCACTAAATAAATAAATGTTAATCTTATGCTTGGTTTTATGAAAAGAAATAAAAGTAGAAAATAAATTTTCTAATTCTCTTACTTTTCCTACATCGTCATCTTCCTCCTCTGCCTTTGGACGTGAGTCTGTAGTATAGAGGACCATCTCCACGCCACCTTTACGTTTGTACATATTATCAGTGAATGAAACTAGTTTTTTAAAGGGTTTTATCGCGTTTAATATATTAATATAATATAGTTTTATAATTCATTCAACGTGTACTGTCTGCATAATAAAGAAACCATCATTATTGTACAGTATTATTTTACACTTTATAAATTAACCGATGTTCCTTTCCATATACTTATAAACCCGTTAAATATAATGCCCTACCCTAATGTTATGTTCCAAGTTATAAAGTAGTCATGTTTATTAAAATAAAATATTTTTTTATATTATCATTTTAACATAAAACTTGGTCAAAACTAAATTTACACATTTTTTTTATCAAAAAGGAAATATTAAATAGGATTCTTCTGTCAAACCTTAGAAAATAATTGGTTGTTAATAATTTCCGATGCATATTATGTCATACATTGGTATGTATATTGTGCAATATTCAATAGATTATAATTTTCTATCTTGTTTGTTTCAGGTGACGCGCTGCGGAGCGGTGGTTAAAGCGGCTCTGCCGCTTTAAATGGACAAACGCAAGATGATGCCAAAGAGAGCGCGTATGGATAGCATGCGGGGTCCCATTGCTAACGGACCCCTGCAATCTAGGTGAGTTTGTTTCCTTATTAAAATTGTATTGTAATTCCATTTTGATCAAGAGGTTCAACCGATGAATCCGAATCCGTGACACTGCGACAAATCTTATTCGATTTTCCTCAGAACCTTAAGATTTGTCTTACGGGTGACTTACGGGCCGCTATATGGTTCTTCACTACTGGCCGTATGATAAAGTTCGCTGAGTGAGCTTCTTCGTATAAAAATAACTGTTTACGAGGTAGAGCTAATCGGCAGTGTGCTTTGGCTGCACCGTTAATGGTTCTGCTTGACAGGAGAAGGACCGCGCTCACACTGAATATTAGCTTAAAATATTAACATAATTCCTTTCTGTTTTATATTGTTCATGATGAGAACTTCAGATTCATATTTCAGTATTAGGTCAGGTAGTAGATAAGGATAGTCAATTAAGTATATATGGTAAGGTGTGTATGAACCACAGCACCAATTACGATTAGATATTCTGTTGTCTTGTAATAAATATTAAATAATTCATTATTCGATAACGTATTACTAAGATGGGCTTTTGATGTTATAAATAATACCTACTAGTTTTTTCAAGAATGTTAACATTTCATCATACATTTTTTTTTAAAGAATAAGTGTGACAAACGAGCACTCTGTCCACCTGATGGCAAAATCTGTCTTTGATTAAGAAACAAATTTCAAATGCGTTGTCACCCCCGAAGACTAAGATGGAATGTCTCGATACCAATAAAAAAGGATCTCCGGTTCTCTACACACACCATACCACGCTGCTACTAAATTATGTTTGCAACACGAATAGGTCGGCTCTACCTATCATAGATAAAGCATACCTCTCATAGAATAATACCATTGTTTCCTGCTGTGTTTTTATGGTGAGGTTGAGAACCGGGTACATTTTTTCTGAGTTTAGAGAAGTTAAGTTTAAGAGTTTTGAACGTGGTAGAGCCATGCTGCAGATATATTAATTGTATAGTTAAAGCAGGAATGGATCGATTAGACCGGGGAAGAGGACCACGCTCTCACAGAATACCAGCGTACAAGCTGCTGTTTCGTGTGGTGAGTGTAAATAACCGGAAACTATTTTTACTGGAAAAGATTTCATCTTAGTCCTCACGGCTGACACCGCATCTGCATTTTGATTCGCAAACGAGGATAGATGTAGATGTCTAAGAGCCGTAGCAACTGTGGCTGGTGTGGCGGTGGTGGACTGTGTGCTCGCTTGTCACCCTTATCCTATACAAAAGAGAGTTAAAAATTTAAACCTATGCCTAGCGAGGAAGGCGCTCAAATTCCTCACTAGGCATAAGTAATACTGCACTTCAAAGCACTCTGCGGTAACAGAAGCTATGCTTATCTTTTTGTCTAAGTATTTTTCTTTCAACGGACATATACGGTAGGAATAAAAATAAGTACTAGAACTCACTCAATATTTATAATACTTAGGTTATATAGATATTCCTAATTTCACTTGAAATAGCATCCTTAAACCATTTGGACATGGTTACGCAACGTAAAAGGGTGTTAGCGTTGCGCACCATCATAAAATATTCAGTATCGCCGTCCGCTGCACCTACACGCGGATTCTAGTGTCGAGATTTATGGCCTCGTATTTTCATAAATATTGCGTTCGGTGAACACATTGCGGTGCGATCGTAAATACTTTATGGCATTTTTGCTTTAGCGCTACAATTTTGCTATGTGTAATGTATATTTTTACTATTTTCTAAACAAATGTATATAAAGCGATATATCGTTCATCCTATATGTATGATCATAAGCTTCAGTAATATAATACTACTTTAACTGCTTCTTGTCCGGGTCCTACCGTTGAATGTCATTTCATTATATTCGAAGCAGGGTTGCAAATTATCAAGGTAATAATGTTCATTGAAAATTCTTATTTCTTATTTTTTGAAAAACGTTACCCCCCCACACTAGAATTTTCTCCTGTATCGCAGAGGCAGTTTAGAAACACAAATTGCACAAGGACAAGCATCCAGACTCGGAACAATTATTTGTAGGTCATACATATACTTGTTCCGTGCGGGATTCGAACCCGCGGCCCCCAGCGCAGCAACTCATTGTTAACCTTTGCGCCACGGAGCCGTCCGCCGACTATCCAGTTATTATCCAGCAATATAATGTAAAAATATTTTAATAGTTAAAATTATTTTATTTCAAAACAAAAAATGCTCTTTGTTTGATACAATCAACAATTACAAAATTTTAACAAATCAACATTATTTGTCATGTTACCTCCTCACCTATAAGCACAGAATAAATAATAGTACTAACGTACAGAAGTTGCATTCTTTTGATGTTGACTGCTTGCCGACGTTTTAATAGCCTACATAGTTATTATTAATCAGATAAATTGCGCACGCAAGCTAAATAAAACTTTATCGTTGCGCGCGAGTGTCCGTATTACTTTGCATCTTTTCTCCTTACTACGTCACAACGGACTTTCCATTGATGCTAAGGGCTGTTAATAAAGAGTAAAATAATACATTGTGAAATGGTAAGTTACTTAGGTAAAGTACCTATGCTGACTATAATCGACCATATTATGTACTATGTGAGTTCTGTGATGCCCAACGCATGCAATTTGCAAGGCCATTCGTCGGGAATCGCGATGCTTGGTTCGTATAGGTAGATAGCGTAAACAACAAATAAACCCGAAATAAGATTTCTAACAGAAATATGATCGTAATCTACTTAGTTGAAAATATTGTAAACAAAGTTTTAATTTCAGTATTTTGTGCTATTATAACTTAAAATATTTTAATTACAAAGACGAGTATAGGTATGTAAGTAGGTACTTGGGTAGTGAAGTAAATATCAACTAAGTTTTGTAATAAAGCACTTAGGTATTACTTCTGTAGTTAAATTATTACTTAATTATTTTTTCGCTATAAGTACCTATCTAACAAAAAAATTAAATATATTTACCTTTCATTATCCTTCGGTAACTCAAAAAATGATATATCGGAATCCTTTTAATTGCTCATTAAGCATCCATCCCCGCAACAATTATAGTAGGAACGACGGTTTGCCATTATAATTTATCAAACAGATAGGTAATATACCTAGTCAGGTCATAAATTCTGTGTCATGTTTAATATAAAATAATTGAAACAAGTTTATTCATTATGTAACCATTTATATACCAAAATGAACTTAACAAAACATAGATTCTTATGACACTAAAGTTTATTCAAAATGACCTCCGTGATTTTGAATATACAGGCCTTCAATCTGCGCGGCCAGTCGTCTATCGCAGCACGAACGAGGTCCATGTCAATATCGGCGGCTGCCTTAATCAAGGATGTCTTGAGTGACTCCAAATTGGGATGAGGCTTTGAGCACGCCTTTTCCTCCAAGTGTTGCCATATCTTGTAATCTTACGGATTCAAATCTGTACTGGAGGAGGGCCAGTCTTCGTGCCGGATGAAGTCGATTTCACGCGCCGCTAGCCAGTCTTGTGTGCTCTTCGCTCTATGAGCTGGCGCCGAATCTTGTTGGAATACCCAGTGCCTGTTATTGAACATGGTATGTATAACAGGTTCCTCAAGGTTCCTCAGGACTGTATTTTGATACACAACTGCATTCGTTTTTACACCTTTCTCGCAAAAATGTACCTCTGTTAAGCCCCAATAAGAAACTCTCAACCATACCATGAGCAAGGATGGAAAATGACCTCGTTGGACACGCGGAATACGGTTGCTCGCTTCTTCACTACTGTGTGTACACCTTATCATTTTGTTTATTGTAGCTCTCTTCTACGGTAAAAATTTATTCATCCGAAAAAAGAATTTCCAACGAAGGACCAACAGTTTCTGCTTACGTTTGGGATTTCTTTGAATTCGCGCCTTCACAGGTTTTATCACTGTTGGAGTCCTAACAGACCGAGGGCGACCACTTCTTGACCTGTCATCTACACTAGTCTTCATTGTATCGTTTGATGGTACGATAAACGAATCTTTTGGTTATATTTAAATTTTTCAGTATGTCAAAAATTTGAATTGGCGCGTAACCGCAACGATGCAACGCAATAACTGCAATACGGTCTTCTTTAAGCGTCCACTCCATATTTAAAAATGAGTAAAATTCTAAAAAGTATATAGTTTTATTTTCATGAACAATTCGAAATTCAAATTCAATAAACGTTTTTTTTTGGCCAGCATTCTAAAAGAAAAGTTTTTACTGTGTGACAATACTTATGACCTGACTAGGTACATATATATTATTCTTAAATTACATTAAATTAATACGAATAAAATAAAATAAAACGAAACAGCCAAAAATGTAAGTACTTTTCTGTAGAAATTTAAATACACTTTATATTTTTAATGCCTCAAATTAATTGTATGCAAAATAATTAAACCTTTAATAAAAAGTAGAAACAACTTAAAAATTAAAAAAAAATCACATAATCAAAATATCTTTATTCTCAAACCAGTAATACTTAAAATTAAATACATTATTGGAACACTCCTTTTAAGTTAAGAAACTTGTGTTAGGAGGCTCCGCTCTTCCCGTCTTTCATTTATATAAATTAGTGTTTAGAACTTGGGTAACACATCGATCTTTGTCTTACAGCTAAAATTATGTAGTATTTTTACAATAAAATATCCGTTGGTGTTAGTTGTGTGATTGTGTAGTGTATGTGTATCATACATAGTTTTTGAATTCTGCTAAGACAGTGTAAAGAGTAACGAGCTGCGACTTTGAGAGAATTTATGTGGAAATTATTTTATTTATTTTTTAATTTTTAAAGTCTAACTTTGTATTAAAAGTTTAACTATTTTACATTTGATATTGGTCTAAAGTAATATCAATAAAGAAGTAATATCACAAGTTAAGTTATAACTTAAATATCGTTTAAATAGATACATTTAAATCGTTATTCCATATTTTCCAACCTTAGGGATGTAATTTAAAGATTTTTTTATTCAAATTAGACCACGCCTAAAAGTATTATTTGATAAAAAAAGAATCATTTAAAT